AAAAAAATGGAGAATACCCCCTATTTTCTTTGCATGCGCCATTGGCGGAAAACGGACTAAATGTAATATATAAATATACCGTTCATGGACTGCACGCGTCGTTTTTATTTCTCGCTGGTTTTACCGGCTGCGTTCCTCATCTATGCAAAAAACGCCCCATACATTATCTTTCTATTTCGTAATCGCTGAAACCTGAAGCCAGAGGCGAGAGAGAGAGACATGAACAAAAGCACGGCCGGCGTACGCACGCACGATTCAGTTAAACTAAACAAACGTTATATTGAGCAAGCGGATTGTCTATAGATCCCATCTAGAAGAACATCGTACGTCGGTTTCTTCACTGAGCTTATCACTTTCGCCACCTCTCGATTTCGCGCCTCTAGCAGCTTTCGCATTGTCTGCTTCTGCGCGCTGGCGCCACGCAAGGCTGTCGGCAGCGCGATAGTCGCAGGTCTTGAGGAGAATACGAGTCTTTGTGGGACGGGAGCGGGATGCCTTTAAAGGACGTAACGGGAATACTTTGAGTTAGTGATCACTTTGGGCTGACGGCTGTAACTCGCCGGAGCGGCGCGCATCGACGCGAGATGTCGCCTGCGATCGCTGCCTTCCGACATCGTGCTCTTCTTCTTCTGCACCGACGTCTCCTCGGCTCCTTTCGCGGGACGTTAGCACGGTAGGTGGCGCCACAGGTTCTCGTTCGCTGCTTGCGTCGGGCGACGTTCGCGCAGGATTAAGTCCGTCGATTTCATGGACAGTTCGGGCGATTCACGTATTCGGCTCGGTAATTCATTTCCAAACCTTTTGGCTGACCGGTTCGATTGCAGGAGTATTTTGAAGAGCGCGCTGATTTTGTCATCGATCAGCCTGAAACTTTATTATTTGATAATCTCTGCTTCGCTCTTTCAGCTCGTTCTTGATCTCGCAGAGTCCGTGCATCAGCTTGCGGCGGCATCGGCCAGAGTTGCCTCGTCAGGCGTTCGGCGAGACGAGATTCGACTTATTCGATTCGAATCTGTCGGCCTTCGCGTCGCTCTTACGCCTATGCCGCTGTCCGTCCGCATTCGAGTTTTCGTGAGGCCTCGAATCCGTCGCGTTGGCGCGCAGCGACGCTCGTAGGCGATTCCGGTTCCTCTTCGATGAACGTCAGCCTTGCCGCCACCTTCGACCACGGTAGAACACCTTTCGTCGTCGTTTCGGCGGATCCGGTTTGTCGCGATCGACGCCTTGGCGTCGTCCGGTTTGGCGACGCCGCTGGCCTGCGCGTTTTTGTCACGTCGGGCGACGACGTCATCTGCGCTCGCCGCACGCGTCCTTCTTTGCGTGCCGCTCTCCGCTTTCGAGTCCCTGCCATGAAATGGACCCACTTCGACGCGCCGGGCGCTTTGGCATCGCCTTTGCGGCTTCTTACGGTGCGGCCACTGGCGGTTGCACGGGGGCGGATTCCTTGCTTCGCGTCCTTGCGACAGCGTCGTCTCCATGACGATCTTTTGCGCTTTCGGAGGGCGTTCGGTGTCGACGGCGGTGCTGGTTTCGCCGCACTATTATTGATTGCTATTTAGAGCTGCTCGGACCGCGAGAAGTAAACTTTGCCCCCACTTAGCAGACATCGCCTGCGCGTCGTATGCTTACCATCGGCACGACTTCGGGGTGGGTGTACTCGATTTGAGTGATAACACAGGCGAGATCTTCGGACCATGACGATGGTGCGCCGTCTTCGGACCTGTCGGGCTGCCCGGAGCGCGCGCGTCATGCCGATTTCGCTTCTCCGGATCCTTGAGAGTCACCGTTGCCGGTTCATCGGTCGGATGACAGTTTGCGTTCGCTGACCTTTCTCAGACGCCGAGAAAATCTGGCGCACGAGATGGTCCTCGCTGGATCGGAGTCCCGGTTCCCTTCTTCAGTCGCTTCGTCTGTTCCCTTCTTTCTTCAGATCAGGCGCACCTTTCGAAAAACGAGCGTGCCGGAAGAGGAAACAGACAACGTCAGCACTGTTCACGTTAGCATTTAATCGCCGGAAGATGACTAATAACTAATAAACGCTGCATGGAAGGATTGCTGAGCTTACTAGGCAATTTAATCATCTGTGTGGCACTGTCGTTAAATGAATGTTATATTGCAGGAAATAATTACGATAAGAGCGTGTTTATTCGCTTCTCGACTTTTCAATAGACTCGATGTTTATGTCCACACCGTAATTCCCCACTCACTGCAGGACGTTTCAACAACATTATATATGTATATTATATACATATATAATATAATATATATATATATGTGTATGCTTGTGTGTGTGTGTGTGTGTGTCGTGTGTGTGTGGTGTGTGTGAGTTCTGTGTGTGTGTGTGTGTGTGTGTGTGTGTGTGCGGTTGTGTGTGGTGTGTGGTGTGTGTGTGTGGTGTGTGTGTGTGTGTGTTGTGTGTTCGTGTGGTGTGTGCTGTGTGTGTGTAGCGCGCGCGTTCGTACGTCGTAGTTGCTTATGCGCGTGCGTAAATGAGCACGTATTCGTGCGTGCCTGTGTGCGTGCGTGTGCGTGTGCGTCTGCACGTCTAATATAGTTAATAGTTAATATGTATACTACCTACCCGATGTCTCAAGTTGTATGTAAGGGTTAGATTTCGTGCAAACGAGTTTGAGAACGAGTGATAAAAATCTAGCACTTCCAGCAGAGCATCTCTTTTTATCATGTGTACATCACAGTACGTCAAGGCCCGGACATTGGCACAGGATTGGCCGAGCGTCGCCTCCTTCCAGAAGTAGTCTCCAAAGACGTCGCCCTTACCTGCAACATGCGATAACAAACACATACAATCAAGTAATCGATTAATCCGAATCGATCTGTCAAATGGTTTTCGAAACAAACGTGTTTCATTAATTTATCAATAAGCATCGCAAACGCGGCACCCACGGGTGGAAGCCTGCCGAGCCCGTGATGCACGAGCGCGTCAAACGCTCGCTCAGGTACAGCAAGGCAGTGGGCAACAAAAGAAGCTGTAGTTGTGGCAGGGAGGACGGACGCGAGAGAGAGAGAGAGAGAGAGCTTTACGGAGAGTAATCCCCGCCACAATTATCACGCGCTACGTACATGCGCGGTGTATCAAATTTTAATCATCGTTACTAGGCTGCTGATGTATAGGGGCCACGTGTAGTTAGAGCCTATAGCGCCCCGCTCTCGTCATTGTACAGCAGTGCCGGCGCGGTTAAAGAGAAGAGAGAAATAGAGAGAGAGGGGGAAGAGAAAGATCTAGAGAGAGAGAGAAAGAGAGAGAAAGATCTAGAGAGATAGAGAGAGAGAGAGAGAAAGAGAGAGAGAGCGAAAGAGAGAGGGAAACAAATAGAGAAACAGAAAGAGAGAGAATTAAAGAGAGAGAAAGAGAGAAATAGAAAGAGAGAGAGAGAAAGAGAACGGGGGCGAGCGAGAGAGAGAAAAAAAATAGGGAAACAGAAAGAGAAAGAAAGAAAGACAGAAAGAGAGAGAGAGAATAAGAGAGAGAGAGAATAAGAGAAAGAGAAAAAAAAGACAGAAAGAGAGAGAGAATAAGAGAGGGAGAGAGAGAGAGAGAGAGAGAGAGAGAGAGAGAAAGAGAGAGAGAGAGAGAGAGAGAGCGTTAAGCCGCG